CATGGCGTTTTATGATCACCAGAAAAAGAAGAACGACATTACAACAAAATATATGGCTTGAAGGTTTGGGTGTCAATGAAAAATACAATCCACAGACACATCCACACAAGAATGAGTGCTATTGAAATTGAAGATTTTGTTGACCATTCAATGATGACTAGGTCGTGGATCAAGATAGTCGATGGATTCATTAAACTAAATGATCAAATAAAAATGTCCTATGCTAATTCAAGTATACATATCTGTGCATGAACTATTGGATGATGAGATTGTAATGTCTAAATAAGCGATGTTTCACTAGAATAAATTCTCGAAATAGTTGTTTGAAACGATACGGAATACGGATTAAAGTTATTTGTTATATATAATGTCATACTGAAAGAATATACCATGTTGTATATTCAAATCTTTTAATGCACTCATAAGAATGATTTTATTATTATAATGAATTTCTCACTATCAGTTGAAATAATGACTACACATGGTTTCTCATAAACATATATTATTTGTAGTCCAACTGTAGCAAGTAAACCTAATTCAGTGGATCCTAAACGAACGTTCTTTTGTATAAACATGTTCACCCATCTGAATATCATCACCAATATCACTAAACAGAGCATAAATACCGAAGATAGTTTACAAATTCAAGTTAAACACATAAATAATATATCGTGATTCAATGAACATTCAGAAATAATACACATACTCTTCTCGTGTCGGGTAATTCAGTACCGATATTAATCACTACACATTGATCTTCGACAAGTGGTGTATTAGTCTGAATTAAAAGAGTTCGAAGTTGAACAAAATAATTCAATATTTTCTCCTGCAACATATACGATATAACTTGGCTCATGCAAGAAAGAGTAATATTTAATACACACTTTACTACTATTAGATAAATTGATAATTAATGTTTCCTGATAAATACCACGAACCAGTCTAAATAGAAGAGACAGAACATGTGAATAATTGCTAATGACTTCGAAATTATTGTTTGTGTTAGACCATGAATTTTCTTTGTAATAAATTAAGTCGTCACCTAAAGTAAAAGTGAGTCCATTAAAATAAAAAAAACTACAAGTCCACATACTTCTGGTGTGATATCATCTGAATTGATTCCTGTTCCACCAGTTTTCAATATTAAATTCGGTCGTAATTCATCGCAAAATTTCAACGATGTCTCCTAGAAGAAAGAAATAAACTAGATTAATCTAACATTTAAAAGATAAAAACTACATACATTGACATGCGTCTGATTGTCAAGAACAACCTTTGAGGCGACTCGTCCTGAATAATCTTTTGTTGGATCATCATAACAAGTGGTACTGACTGGAATAAACTAAAATTATCTGACAAAGTTACTGAAAACATGTAAATATTTGACTAGAGGAAAAAAATTAGTTCTTATCAAGCACATATAACATGATCATAGAGTTTTTCTAAACAAAAAAATGTAAGAATAAAAAATAGTTGATTGTATAACATACGAAATCGTTCGACAATCGGTCCTACCATTTGTGTTTTTCAACCATGCAGTATGTTCTCCATCAAGATCATCATGTGAGGATGCGAGTAAATTTGTTTCTAAGGTTTCGAAGCGTGAGAAAAGTTCAATAATATCTGATTTTATCTAAACATGAGAATCATGATAGAATTGAATTTATTTGAGAGGAAAAGAAATCACCTATTCGTTTTTGACCATTTTTGGTTGCTAATTTTCATTCACGTTCAGCTAATTAAAGTTCTTCAATTTTCTAAATAAAAATAGTACAATTACTATTGTGTTGACTCTTGCTCAAGATCCCTATGACGTTAAGATTTCCCGACCAGTTATTTCTTTTGTTAAATTTTCAATTGCTATTAGAGCTTGTTTTACACTGTCATTATCAACAATAATATCACTCGAATAAAAATCAACAGTAGACGGTGGTGCCCGAGATGCTTTATGTTTTTTAGGTACTAATTCATATTTGACCTTAAGTTTGCTGAGATTTGGAGAGTTCAAATTAATTGATTACTTCTTTGGCAAGTCGCTTATGTTCATTAGTTGCTGTTGAATGTAGTTGTTGTTCAAGAAGTAAACTAGACAGAAGAACTTCACCATTCGAACGAATAAAACGTTGTAATTCAGCATCAGTTTGTCGAGAAAAAAAATCGATATTGAGGATGTGGGTGTGAATTCAAGTCAAGACGCAAGCACACTGACACCCTCAAGGAAGAGAAGCTCTCTAGGGTATTTTGCATAATCAATAGTGGGTGACTTTTACGATAATCTATGCATATATAATGTAATTTATGTTAATGACAAATCAATTTCGATGTATCTTCAGCTAGTTGTCCATCATACATGCTACTATTCTCTCGCCTGTTATGCATAAAATAGGGATGACGATGTAGTGCTATGATGAAGAAAATACAAGGAGATAATTATTAGAATTTTCAATGCATCTTAATGACTGTGGATTACAAAAAAAAAGTTACACCGCCCTTCACAATAAAGATCAATGGGCTTCCATGATGTTTTGAAGAGTATCAGTTCGCAACTAGACTTCTATCACGACCTAATTTTTCAAAATTCGAACTAATGTTTTGAGGAGAAATCGCACTAACGTTGTAGGAGATACGTATATTAAATTAATTTTTTAAATTGCTTAAGGCTTCCTAAATCATGATTCGAAAAAACACTTATTTTCGAACAAAGAGAATAATTCAAAATCCCTTCTCGCTCTCGAAACGTCTATAAATATATATCAAACACAAGAATATAGAGACGAAGAAAAACTGTTATTTACATGCAGAATTATTGGCATGTCATAGTTGATTTAGGAATTTCATGAATACGATAATAAAAAAACAAATTCAAAATAACGCGATCATTTAGTTCAAAACAGTAAATATTTTTAGGTAAATTATTCGAGCTTTTGATTTCTCTATACATAGATGAATCAAAACCAGAGGGCTTAGAAGTAACGGAGTTTACTTGCATTTTGTCGTATTTTGCCTTCAAACTTTTTCAACATCAAATTTTATTATAAAAAGAACGAGCTTAGCTCATATTATGCCTGAGTTTATGGTAGTCTTAAAGTGAGAATGTAAATGCCTTCTTCGGAAAGATTTAAACCCACAACCACGCCCTTTCAACTCTAATTCAAGTCGATACTATAATTATTGAACGGTGTTACTGAAATGCACAATGATGTATCTGACGATATAAATTCAAGGAAGTTTTTCGAGGATGCTAATGAGGCATATATATTTTTAGAAAAACATTCTGTTTATTTAAGCAGTAAGAAGCCTTTCATTGCGAAACACGAAGCATCGGCAAATTGCCCAAAGTTGTTTGACTTAAATCATATTGAGTCAGTTTAACTGTCAATTGTCCACTGAAGACTTTGATTTGGCTATAGTAGTTGAGCCGAGCGCCAACATCAAGTACATAAGTTCCTGCAGTTAGGTATATACTGTTTCTGATCGCGAACATACAAAATGATGACTATTTGGCAATGGATTAAACCACCAATTTCGTTCTGAACCGACTCCTGAACCATCATTTCTGTAAAATGTGTTGTGTCTGAATGTATGATCATTATAGAGAAACTCTAGCTCGAAAGCACTGTCATTCGCAGGAAACCGACAAATGGCTTCGAAATTAAGTTCATATAACATAGGATAAGCATGGCGTAGTACTAGAGTGAGACTGTGAAGTAATCTTGAAGACGTTCTCCTGCGATACACATGGTTGAAGTTTTTTGTAAACGGTTGATGGTGCAAGGCTTTGCCCTTGTAAATCGGCTACTTTTATCAACATTGGATCGGCGCCGGTACTTATTATCAACACTCGTGTTGATATAATAACCAAAGCATTTATCTTCGTAGTCATCATCATATATCTAACATAAAAAGAATGAATATTTTGAGAAAAAAACAAAATTGAATAGATTTGATACTATTTCTTTCGATGAATGGAATACGAATGGGTAGTTGAATCAGAAACTGATATTATTGTATGTTTCTAAGACAGTAAAATAAATTCTACGATACACAATCCGTCATAATGTTTATTATTACCAGAAGCACTTCAGCAGGAAAATGGTAAAACCAGTTAATATGCATAAGTAATAAAGAATATGTAAGCATCGGATAAAATAGAAAAAAAATAATGATTTATTATCTAGAGGTTACTCATCGTCCTGTACTCATCACCAAATTGTAGATCTAAGTCTGCATCTTTTAGTACAATCTTGAACGTCTGAGTGTGTGTTTAAAGATATCTGCATCCATATCCAAATTCATACTCCCCGCCTCATACCAAAATATTGTATGATACGACACGTATGGTCATACTTCCCTTATAAAAAACAGTGTACTTTTTATTATAGAATGATTAGAAAAAAGAAAGTGACACAGAGTAACAAGTAGAATAAAATCCTCAAATTATGTACAAAAATGTTTAGTATATGACACATGTGTACTTTGACTAATAATTGTTAACAGAAAAGTAATAAATTTTGTCAGGGTGTGGGTGTGGGTGAGCGTACGTGTATGAATTTTCTTTTCACCAACGCCCAGACACAGTGCACATCCATGCAAATTCTATTAAGTTATTAATTGCACATAAAATAAAAATTGAAATTAATCAAAGTGTATAGTTTCAATTTTCGTGGACTGTATATTATTATTATGAGTATGGATGTTGATGATAAGGAGACACGAAGATAGTATGTATGATCTTCTATGTTAGCATGAATCATAACATCGGATAATTTTTTAAGCATTTCCGATTCATTTATCTGGGATGTAGTTGTTGCTGCTGCATAGTGTAATTAAAGAGATGGACAAGATCAGAAAGGATAGAATGACGATGTAGTAGAAGACGTATTTCATTTTATTTTTTATTAAATAAAAACTTGCAGTAATGTTTTGAGCTTAGAATATAAGCAGGACAGACGCCTTATTTATTCAAACGCTATATGTTTTTCTTTTAACATTTTGGAAAAAAGTGCCGATGTCGTTCTCTTTATATCATGACGTGACTGTCAAGGATATACGTAACTATATAGCGCTATCTTCTTGCCAGTCTAGAGAAAACAAAATTGTTTTAGAAGTGGAAAAATATTTTTACGAAGAAACTATCACTTGTATTGGCACTGTTTGTCAACAGCAGAAGTGTATCTCCTAGTACAAAGTGTAGAGAAGTAATAGGCTATAAGAAAAATGTTTATATGGTAGAAGCCTATGGATGGCAGAACAAGATATATGTTGATAATTTTACACATGAGACAACATACTCAGATGATGTTCTACGTTTTTCTTTGTTCCAATGTCAATAGGTTGAGGGAGTGGGTGAGTTCTATTTCAGAGAACAGGCACATACACACTAACACGCAGACCCTGCATCCACACCCAATATACAGAAACATGTCTTTAATTCTTATATTGTTCATTAATTAAAACTAATTTCAAAGTGCTTGTGAATGAAAATGTTAATATTATCAATAATTACTTTGTATCTATCAATGAACTTTGTCAAATGTAGGGCAGACAAAAAAAGAAAATTTAAACAATATCGTATGTCTTCTAAGCTGACGACTAATAGCAAAGGCTTCTACGTCATGATGTTTAAACATCATCTTTTTCGCAATTGAACTGTGCTGGCGATTCAGTAAATTGTGCCTATAACCCGACTATTATACGCTATCACCAACATAGTCCCAACGGTATCTACATGCATATTCATGAGGAAAATCAATATAGAATAAATTGTAAAAGTTCTAGTCAGTTCCAGTTTCATATACCATTCAAATTTTTCTATGAATGATGCTAAAAAATGGAAAAGAGAAACTATACAAAATGCATTATATCAGTATAATCTAGTATTTGACAAATCAATTACGATAAGTTCAACCAAACTATACGACTAGAGGTGTCAGCTGAGGTGCTCATCGGCGGCGGCGTTGGGTCCATCGTTGGTCAACGGCGGTGGCTGGAAGGTTAAAAAAGCACTACTTTTGTGAACAAGAACAGTCTGTCTATTGCAATATCCTACCGTTAGTATTTTCAAACAAATATCAAATATGTGAAACAACTTTATTTTACATCTTGACATAATAAATAAAGTACATTTAAATAAATTAGGGATACACCAATTCCTAGTACATGGTCCGAAAGATGATATTTTTGCCTGATGAAGAACGCAGTTATCCGCTTATTTCATAGATCAATCAAGATTAATTTTTTTCGCTCCATCCGAAAATGCAGTCGGAATTTATGAAAGATTTTAACAAGGCTTCGGATTTTACCTGGACTTTACATAAAATTAGAATTTGTAAGTTTTGGGCGCTTAAATTCTGCGAAATCCAACTCAATTTCAGACTTGTCGTTTGTACTAGGCAAAATTTAAGAATATATTTGAAGAGAGCATTCAAAACTGAACAGAAATAATATGAAAAAAGATGCTCGGTCGATAACTCTCAATACTGAAAACAAGCAAACATTAGATCGAAAATTCCAGGAATTGTTTTTTCCCCTGTATAAAAAGAACATGCTCGTCATTGGCAGTTATCAACCGAGCATCGTTTTTCATATTATTTCTGTTCAGTTTTGAACGCTCTCTTCAAATATATTCGTAGATTTTGTTAGTGACGGAGCCAGGATTTTGCACTGGGAGGGGTTCATGGGCGGCTAAAAATTACTTGAGGGCACTAAATCCCCCTCAGCCACCCCGTGGATCCGCCACTAGATTTTGTCTAATACAAACTGCAAGTCTGAAATTGAATTAGATTTCATAGTATTTGACCCAACAAAATTTGAAAATTCTAATTTTGTGTAAAATCCAGGTAAAATCCGAAGCATTTGTAAAAATCTTTCATAAATTCCGACTGCAGCTTCGGATGGAGCGAAAAAAATTACTCTTGATTGATCTATGAAATAAGCAGACAACTGTGTTCTTCATCAGGCAAAAATGTCTTCAATCAGACCATGTACTAGGAACTGGTGTATCTCTATATATCATATTGAGATGAAAAATGAATAAAAAAATCGAAATTCATTAAAAAATGAAAATATAAATAAAAATTGTCGATATCAATGATATGGGTCGGCGGCGGCGGCGGCTAATAAATTTTAAAATTTCGCATGCCATCGGTGGCGGCGGCTCAGCCGCACGGCTGACACCTCTAACCACCATGTTATGTATAGATTTTGACATATATTTTATTTTAAATATTTTCAATCACTTGTCAAATAATTTTTATTTATTTTCATAATTTTTCTGTTTATTTATTTTTAAATTATACAAATATAACAAACAACAAAAAGAAGAATTATATTAAGTTGCTGCCGGTGTTAATCTTAATGGTTGAATACATGCACTTAAATGTTTTACAGTTACGTCAATCGTTGAATGGATTTCCTCATCATCACATTTAACTTCCTTTAAAATTAAAGAGAAACAATATTGAAATTAAGAAAAAAAAGAAAAATTCAAAATAGCAAACTTACGAACGATTCCAGATCAATCGATGCCTTTTTATCATCGATTGTAACAAATAATTGTTGTTGATCTTCAGACAAAGAAACCATAGTTGAACCGTACATATCACTTAATGTTTCTTGTAAACATTCACGAACATGTTTTTTGTTTACTTGTATTGGAGTATCTAAATTGTTAACAGTATGTACATAAATGTAAAAATATACAATATAATCTCCCAGTTTAATTTTTCGTTGATGAAATTCAGTTCAATCCTATATGAATTCATAGATTATAACTTTTTAATTATTTCGATGTTAAATTCAAAGCATGTTCACAATATTCTAGGAAAAAACATTGAATATCTGAATTGATTGAACAATAATGTTATCAATTTTGATTCATATTAAGGTTCTTTAAAACATTAGTTTCATTAGAATTCTATTTTCTATCCATTTAGATCTTGCATTTTCTAGATTGTAAACTTCTATGTAACATGTACCATATACACATTTCAATTCGACATTTGATTTTGTTTAAAACCATTTTCGAATTAATTTCTGTCATATAATGTTGAAAAAATGGCTGAAGTTGATTAAACAATTAAAATAATCTTTTAAGCTTTTCTTCTACAGAGAACTCGTATGTTAGAAACTATGAAGCATGTAAGTTAAGATGATTTTCAGTATAAATCATGTGAAATCAATCGGATATTTCAAAATACTCATTATAAAATCATGTAAAGATTATATCTTAATATTTATATTAAGCACACCCCGAAAAGTTTCATCTCAGAAAAAAAAGATGGTAACAGAATTGATTATAGGAAAAAAATGCAAATTATAACCTGTATTTCCTGGACAATCGCCTGATTCTGTTTTGAGGATAACCGTAACAACAGCATCTGCATAAACATCATTAACAGGACTTGATTCCCACTAAATAATCTATCATAAAAAAAATCAATATGAAATAAAAATCTTACTTCGAGTACAAGCATTCTGTTTTCAAGAAAAATGTTAATTGCGCCAAACACTCGAATACCTGGTTTTTGTTTATCACCAACTTGTTCGAGTTCACCAGCTACTTGAGATAAATTCAATACCAATGATCTATTCAAATTAATGGTAGAAAATAAAATGGAGCTCTTCAGGATTAGATTTTTTCCATCTCTCTTTGACTTCTTTTCTCTAGAAGTGCAGTAAGTAGGTAGCTAGTTCAGATATTACAAATAGCTTTTATTGAGATATACTTTATGTCTATAACTATTTGTGAAAGTCTCTCGGTTCTATGAATATTGTCTGTTACTAAGGATGTCACAGTTCGAGAGGATACTGATTCATACAATATACGCTACTAAACTTGTTTTAGACTGTATCTCACAAAACAAAAAGAACAGAAATGTCTCTACACTCAATATCTTATTATTACCTCGGCGCAGCTGTGAATGGAATTCCTAAATGTTGTGTAACAGTAGATCGTGCTAATGATGTATAATCTTAAATAGAAGAATTCAATGATATTAATCTATTCAATAGTACATAGTCATACTTTGTAAATCTTCTGGTGCCATCATATGTAATTTAAAATTTCTTCGTACTAATATTCCACTAAGAATATTTCCTTCGGATGGCTTTTCAGCTGCTAATTGGCCAACAACTTTAGCTGTTTTTTCACCACGAAAACGAAGTTCAACAGATTGAGTATTTTTCGGTGTATAAACTAATAATTTACATTCGGGATCATCTTCAAATTTTCGTATTAAATGTGAACGTAGTCGATTCATTTCCGTACTTTCGCCATGAACAAGTATCTAATATTAAAAAATAAATTACAAAAATTCATTTCTCTTTTTAATTATTTTCTTGCGTACCACATGTGGTGGCCGAAGTTCACGAATAAAATCTGTTGTTTGATTGCAATCTGTATGAGCAGAAAAAGAGATGTAGTCGACCGAACATTTCAGTGGTAGTTTTTGTCCACCCATTGTTGTTATTTCTTCTGGTTCAGATAAAATCGTCTGAATAATATTAAATAAATATTATCTATTATTTTCTATAAATAAATTTTACTTTTGCAAGTGTGCCTTCAACACAATAGCCAGCAATAATAACTCCATTGCGCTTATCGGTACACCAACATTCAAATAGTTCTCTACTTAATCCACTTTGCATCATTCCTGGACTCGCCAACACAACACAAGGTCCAATATCATCAAAATCATCAATTGTCTGAATGAGAAAATTTAATTTAATTTCTTTTTTTTTCTGTCAAGTATACTTCGACTATTTACTTTAAGACTAGCAATATGTTTAAATTTAAATGGATTAGAAACAGCACTCTGTTTACGAATTTTATCATTCATTGCATCAATATATGTTTGATAGACCGACATACATTTCTTTGCTAAAGATGATGCATAATAAATGGGAAATTCATGAAGTTCAGGATGTGATGACCAATACTCGTCTATAGTAAAATAATTAAAAGAAAATATTATCAAATCATTATATGAATTAAATAGTTGTACCGAGAATAAGAAGAAGTTCTTGTGCACGGCCAAGAGCAAATACAGGAATAAGACAACGACCACCACGCGTAACTATATCATGAACAAGACGTGTAAAACGATTTTCACGCTGTTCACGTGGCTCATGAACATGAACACCATATGTTGCTTCCTAAATTTTATTTTAATTAATGAAGAAAAAAATATTTTCACGCAATATTTTGCTTGTAAAATATGGAACTCAAATATGTTCCTTATATTGATAGAAGAATATCTAGCAAGAAAAATACCTAACGGTAGAATAAATTTGTTTTCCAAGGATAAGAAATTGATAGTAGGAATAATTTATCATACTGATATCTGTATTTGAGTAGAAATTCTTTCACTTTTCCTGTTAGAACTATTATTTAATCGTTAATTTTCATTCTCATGTCACATCGTTGTTACTCAAGTATTATTATCCAAACTGTTGATTTAATTGACATACAAGCCTGTTCTACGTATCCATAATATCTATTATAGGCTGCAATACACTATTCTATTTATTGGTAAACTCAGAAATATTGCTTTTGATTATTCGCTTTATTTCTTCTATGGTCAGTTCACTTTTTTTTCTATATACTTATGATATGATGAATATATTTGAATTTCAATAGACTTTGGAATTTTCTTGAACATTTCTAAACGTTCCTTTTTATACTATTCAATAAGTCTTTTTTTTGTAGTAGAGCAGACGAGAAGAACTATCAAACGAGATGTCCACGATTTCTAGAAGAAAATATTCAATGACCATTGACTCTTCCCTAATATTTGCTAAGACTTAGACAAGAGGAAGTCAACAACAAAATCTCAATTTAGATTCAAACTTATGATGTTCTTTAAAAGTTTATGTATGTTTTATAAAAAATAAACAGAATGTCTTACAGTAACAAGTACATCTGGACGAAGATTTGGTACTTCGGCTGCCATCAAATGTCGGTCTTCTTGACGTGAGAAATCTCCTGTATATAATATCTAAATATATACATTACTAAATGAATAAAATTCTATTTAATACAATCATTATTTACTTTGACACCAGCTATTTCAATCATAAACATAGCTGCACCTAAAACGTGACCTGCATGATAACACCAAAATTTAATTCCATTAACTTCAATTTCCTAGACAGAAAGATAAAATTGATGAAAACGAAAATTTGCCTTTGAATTTTAAAAATATATACTTGATGAAAATTAATTGTTTCGATACGTGACATACTTCCTGTCAATTCAGCCTCGGTGTAGAGCATTTCTTCTGCACTTACATTGCTAGAAAATAAAATAATAGTAAAAATTATTTAGAAATAAAAAGAAAACAAGACTTGAATCGTTACCTAACACGAATACAATCAGATAAAAGCCACTTATAGATCGCTTTTGTTGCGTGAGTCATAAAACAGCGACCTTTGAAATTAGTTTTATTTAAAAACCAAGGCAATGCACCACAGTGATCAAGGTGAAAACTTAAAATTTCATAGAAAAACGATAACAATAATAAGTACACAAATGAAACAAACAACAACTGAATAAAAATAAATTCTTACTGGCTGACGAGTAACAGATCAAGTTCTTCGGGATCAATATTATCAATAAATGGAAGTGCATTACGACCAGATAATCCTGGATGAATACCAAAATCAAGCTGAACAAATATGCATATAGATATTGTTTCTCAAATTTTCGTCAAAAGATCACTCACTAAAATTTTTTTTCCTTTGAATTCTAAATAAATACATGATCGACCAACTTCTTGTCCAGCACCCCTAATGTATTAATCAATATTGATTCGTTTTTGTTTTTGTTTTTGTTAAATATATTCAAATGCAAACTTACAATGGTCGAATAATTAATTTATCACTATCATCACTTATTGCTTCTTTTCGTTTATTTGAAATCATTCGAAATCTTGCGTTAGATTACAAAATTTTCTTCAAATATCAACGAAAACAATCTTGTTATTCAAAAGAACACAATAAAGAGCAGACACAAGCACAAAGTTCTGCTTTATTTATTAATACTATTCTATAATCGTTCGTTTCAAGAATAAAATTATCTGAAATAGGATAAAGTACTTTTGATCTTTTTAGTACATCACGTTCGACTAGATGATGGTTTTATATTGAGACAAAAAGAAAAAAGGTTCTTTTGACATAGATTATGCGTTTGGGTTTTTGCTAGTAAATTGCTCAAGGAATGAAATCAGTAGAAGAAAAAGTAAATTGCCTAAATGTGAGGGGAAGCTGAAGGTAAATAATGTCAATTGATTTGCTTTCATGTGAATATCATTCATGCTTTTTAGTTATTCCATTTTGTCGAGATCGGTTTGTCGTTGTCGTTGTTGTTGTTGTTGATTCATTATTTGATATTTTATTTGTATTTTCTAATTGTTGTTTACGCCGTTTTTTATCATTAGTTTGAGTAATATATTCATGAATATAAAAATTCGTGAAAAGAACCAACATAATTACCATATAGCCACCTAACATCCACAATCCCCTACAACAACAAAATAAAGCAACTAACAGTCAAATAATTAATACTAAAATAAGTTTATACCAGCGTGGATAATTACAACCAGTTATAATTGCATTAAATGTATGAAGGAAAATACAAACGAATTGAGTCTAAATGAAAAGAAAAGCAAAACAATTTCACAAAAGACTACTCTTTATTATAAACAGATTAATTATGAGCTTTTCTTTTCTATAATAATAAAAATTGAACAATTTACTGTGAAATTCAAACGATTTTAATTGTTAATACACTCCTGTTCTTTGATCTACATCTTCGTCAAATGCATTCATAAGGATTTTCGATCTTTATTTAAAGGATTATATATATATATATATAAGTATGTTCTTCCTAGTTTTTCTTGTTGTTAGTTATACACCAATGAGTTTCCTTTCATTATATTCTTCTTTCTTTCATGTCGTTCTATGGATTTTTGTGATTAAAATTTCTCAGCTATCAATATTCCATCCTAAAAGAAGCCTCAGTGTTTAACAATATGTATAAAAGACCGATAAAGTATTCTATTAATTGATTCCAATGTTACATTAATAAAAAAAAAGAGAATAAGAGTGAAATCATATACAATATACATTGATGCCATGAATAATCCGTGACATATACTATAATTGTAAGTTTTTAAGGCATTCTTGAATTAGCACATGCTTGAAATTAAATGAATATAATTCGAAAGCAAAACTAGTTGCATTCAGAAGTCTACACGAGTCTATTTGAACTATCTATTTGTTTACTTACAAGTTGAAATAATGTGATATATTTTTTCCACCAAAGTTTTTCTCGTAGTGATGGAATGACCGATAATCCATAATATGCATACATAAGAACATGAACGGCTGAATTTAAAACTGGACCAAACCATGCTTGACCACCCTAGATAAGAAAACAAAAAATTGAAAGAAAATTAATTTTTTTAATCTTTTCTTACAGGTATCCATGTCATGACAATCCACCAAATGATAAGCATAGTTGAATGATGAAATACATGAAGAAATGTTATCTGTGTAAAACGTTTCCGTGCAACCATAAAAATTGTATCCATAAATTCAATTGCTTTGGAAAAAAAATAAAACCACAATACATTGGTTACTTTCATTTCATTTTCATCGGTCGAAACATTTAATTGCTGGCAAAGTAAATTATATTTACTACGATAAATGCCAACAGCAACCTAAAATGTGAAATCAAATAAGTGAGAACATATATCAATGACCAACTAACCTCTTCAACCATATAAATCGATAATGCAACAAGTGACATATTGTAAATAAAAAGTATCCATGATGGTACATGAAATGCCTCTCGATTTCGCATGTAACGTGGACCAAAAGTAACAATAAAAAGATAGATTAATGCCAATGTTATTGCTGGAATTGGATCTGCCCATAATAAAAACCAATCTTTTGTTCTTGGATCAGCCTGTTTTAGCGCATGTTTATAAGAAGGTATTTGTTCTTTTAACCAATCATTGAGCCAAGTCATTCTTGGAAATACAAATATCGATGAAAACAAAAACAAAAACAAAAAAGGATGCTTTGCTTTATCTAAAATTTGATTCGGACGAGATTATTATATTAAAAAATTGATTATATTATTTAACAAGCACATTAAAAACTAGCTATACTCGACAAAACAAACACTGTTTTCATAATTAATACAAGAAAGATAAGAAGAAAAACCGAAATATTAGCAAAAATTCATATAAATCTATTTCTTTTCTGTCTTGTTTTTGTTTTTCAATTTTTACGTAGATGAATTTATATGTGCAAGAATTGTTTCTGGTAGTGTAAATGAATCTTCAAGAGATATTCCACTGAAAAGAAATCAATAATAGAAATTTTTAGAAAAATTAAGAGGAACTCAAAATTTACCTCAATTCAAGGTCATATTCATCCATATAATTGATAACTTCATCATATAACATTAAACAAATATTATTATTGTTCAACAGACGAGAAGAAGAAATTGATACATTTTTCCAATTACCTTCACGCGTGAGATATTCTTGCTCTTCTGTATCCGGTATGTGCTTAAAACAGTTATATATATACATGTACATCCAATTTTTTTTGTGCAATTTATTCAAATAAATTCTCTTATCACGAAGATTCTTTAGGGTTGATGTTTGTTTTAATAAGTTAACTTTTCACATCTTATCAAATAGTCATGATAAAGATGAAAAATATGTTCTTACTCAAAAGTAGAATATAGGGGCGTAACCAGAGAAAAATTCAAAGCGAGGCTCAGCCATTGGTCAAAATCATTGTTAATAAGAGGACAAAGACCTACTTAAAATGTACTGAGTCCCCTAGCCCTCGTCTGGTTACGCCCCTAGTAGAATAAAAATACTTTTAGTATATTTTGTAATAGTAGAGTAACTCTGATTAAAAGCTTGAGATCACGCGTTTTTTTTTTGCTTCAATACGAAAATGTTGAATTAACCCTAAATGATGATTTGAATACCATACTCAAACTTCTCGATAAACTAGATTTGATAGATCATTTTCATTGATCAACTAACATACAGAGGTTTGTGAAAAATTAAATGCTTTTCATTGGCCTAATTTTAAGTGTACCATGTCAAAGAGTAAAAACTACTGGTTATATCAAGAGTTTGTCGAATTCATTATGATCTTACTGTAAGTTATGAATATTAAAAAGAATGAAAACAAAAACGAAACCTATTCTAGCATTGCTTAAATGTGATTTATTTTAATGATGTCTATTAATTTTTACGATAAAATTTCATTTTAGTCAGAATGTTGTGCTCTTCTTAAAATAGTGCTATATAACAAAAATAATTCTCTTAACATCCATTAGAGACTGATAACTATCCTATTGGTATTTTTGTTTTTCTTTAGAAATCAGTGTCCACTATTTTATTTATGAACGCTTGATATGAAGATGAATTTAATGAAAAACTTAATTAGTTACTCAAATTGTGACTAAGATCGAAATATAATGATTGCTGTAGTCAAAAACAAATTTTTAATCAAATAATTTTAATCCATACTATGCAATACTATTTGAATATGTCTCTTATCATTAAAAAGAAACGGATAAACATTTATCTAATTGTACTCATGCTCAAAGTGAGAAATGCTCACATCTTGACCAAGAAAAACTATTCATGTATTCAAGTAAATTAATAAATGACAAGACTTCATTAATTTTAATATAAATATGTATCATATTTACTTTGAACAGATGACTATATTTCTTTTGAAATTGTTTTTGTTGTTGTTGTTGATTTGTCATTTTATTACCATTACTGTGAGTATCATATTTACCAGGTACAATGTGGCTAATAACAAATTTTGTTTGACTATTTATTGAAACTGGTGTTGATGTAGAGAAGCTATTGCTAATATTTTTTCGTTTCCGTCTATAATTAGAAATATTATTTTTAGAGTTGCATTTTTTTCTCAAGCAAACTACTTCGCATTTCCATTATTTGTTATAGTTGTCGCTTGAACAGGAGACGAAACATTTCTTGCTAAATCATCCACTGTTCGCGTTGATAATATTGGAGCGGGTGAGTATGTAGTTAAAGCCTAGATAAAATATGAAGTGAACAGACAGGAAAGATACGCCCGCGTGGCCTAATGGATTAAGGCATCGGACTCCTAAATTTTGTTTTCAACAGAGTCATCCGAAGAGTCCGGGTTCGAGTCCCGGCGCGGGTGTCCAAATATTTTGCTTCGGCGTCTAATTTCTCTTTCCTCTTCTTGCTTCGCTCTGATTTTTTTGCGTTTCTTCATATGGAAAGAATCATAAGGAATAGATTATCAAGAGTAACGGCAGATGAATGCTTTTGCTCTTTTTGCAAGGAAAAATAGTCTAAGAAAATATAAACTTGCCCACGTGGCCTAATGGATTAAGGCATCGGACTCCTAGTTTTGACAATTCAACTGAGCCATCCGAAGAGTCGGGGTTCGAGCCCCCGCGTGGGTGGAAAAACATTTTACTTTTGATACAACAAGTGTTTTATCATTTATTTTTTTTGTGGTTCATTTATAAGTTTTCCTCTATCTAACATACCTCAGAAATCATAGTAGATAAGCAAGAACGAATAGTATCGTCGGTTGTATTCGGTGCATTAACTCGATCAAAATATGTCTGATAAGAGAAAAGTTAATGTTTTTTTTGTATGTAATAATACTAAAATTAAATTTTACCATTTTATACTTATCAAGTAATGATTTAAGCTCACGTTCTAATGGTTTATGTACAATTAAACGTATGCAATCAATCCATTCAGTATCATCAATTATCACTTTTGATGATGATTGACGTTGCCTTAAAAGGAAAATAAAAACAAAATAGTGAAATCAATATAATTTTTAGTATGATGGATCGATTATTACTTGAGTAGATTCAATCGATTTGTATAAGCGATATTATGAAATTTTTTATGCTTTGATTCTGATGGTGGCGGAACTAATAATACAGATGAAGAAGCCATTAATGTGTCAAGAATTTGTGGCCGTTGACTAGCAGGAAGAATCTACGATAAAAAAATAGAAATTATTATAAAGACAAGAAATATTTCATTTTCCTTTCCTACATAAGGAATAGATTTATGTGGGCAATCTTCTACTGATGAAGATAGACAACAATGATTTGTCGATTTTTTTTGTTCACGTTTTTTATTAGAATTCAACGTATTTTCTTCCTCTTTTGAAGCGGGCAAACATAATGGCGGTGGTGGTAATTTTTTCGATCGAGTTGATGAATTTGTCGACGAAGAACTTGTTTCCATTTGTAGTAAATCGATTGATGTCATCTTTCCTATCTTTGTTTGTTTTTAAGACGATTTTCACAACTTTGTAGAATCAAAAAAAAACAGAAAGAAAAACATCATTACGGGAACAAGCTTTTTCTCGTCATTGCATCAAAGATGTCGAAGAATGTAGCAGAAAATAAAATTTAGTATACAGCTCACTATTGGTTCATAAGAAGGGGTGCTGTAAGAAATAATAAAAATGTAGAATTATTTTTCATTTTAATATACTATCATACGAAAAATAAATTTTTTTTCTTCTTAAAATAAATAAATAAAAATATGTTAGCAATAGTTATAAATCATTTGTTAAAATTAACCAACCATTTTACAGATAAAACGTCTCTATCATGATTGATTGCTAACGATATAAGTTTGTGTATGAATCATCCACTCAATGTTTTGCTCATAAATAACTTTTGAGAATGTGTAATACAGTAAAACTTAAATGGATGTTGTTATTGACATCTGAAATGCATCGTGTTGATTTATATAATTTATTATATTTAAGTTCACTAATTACCGAAAATTCAGAAGTTGATTTAGTAACATATCATGTCAATATTTTTCTCGAATTGAAATTTCTTTGTAATATTTCCTAAAGAAAAAGTACGTATATGAATAGGGAGGACGTTCAAGTTAAAAAAGTTTGTATGACAATTTCTACTTCTTTGATTTCACATAAATCCAGATGTCACCTCGTTCAATAGATTTTGAGACTGATTCACATTTCTTGCTCTGTTTTATGTCACCAAAAAGCACGTAACAAGACAAGACATTTGTGTGCTCTTCAATGATCATCTGTTCAGCATTTTCATCTACAACGAAAATATGATGAATCTAACGATAAACAACAATATCCTAATGAATCAATGAATAGTTTCGTCATCGACCAGTTGTAATATTTAACGTGACATCATTTTAATCAATGAAAATACGTTGACTAATAGAATTTAGAACATGAAACGACAATTTTTTATGAATAGCGTTATAAAACTGGGAAACGATAATGCTCATCGAATCATTCGTGTCTTATTCAATCGATTTGTATGCATAATTGAAATGTGTGATATGTTTGTCGTTATCACTGAAGATTTGAATTTTTTCCAATCATACCATTTGCTTGGTTTTGTATAGCTACTTTGAAAATTTTCGAGTTGAAAGTATTTCTCAAATACTTGGTATTAAATTCAAATAAGATTAACAATTGAAGTTCTTATTTTTATTTGGTAATGAATCAAAGAATTATTCATTTTTTATGTTTGATACTTATCCTTCAAAATCATCTCACACAGTAAGATCAATAGTATTTTGATATTTATTAATTCAAACTAAAGATATTGATCTTTCTATTTCAGCAGTTATACTATTCATTCCATCTTTAAAGGACCTATCAGTGATCATGATTGATTCGAGATTTTCAATAATTGTTCGAGTTGAAATTTCAAAATTAACTAAAACTTGCTTTTCATAATGATGACTATTTATGTTAAATATATATACTTTTTGTGTGTAAAAAAGGAGACGTTGATTTTTTTCCTACAAACGAAAAAAAATGATATTTGATCAAATTAAGAAGAAAAGATAAAAATAAAACCTAAATTATTAAATATACACGAAAGATAGTAGATAAAAACTCGAAGAAACATGTATATTATACTGATAGTACGATGTCAGGTCTATCGTTTCACTAGACGCCATAATAACAGACAAATATAGAGATAAATGAGAACATAAACATTGATTCACATATTCCATAATGAAAAATTTTTACTATTTTGTTTTTTCTTACTTATCATAGACTGTTGCTTGTTTAATCATTCAGATTTTCGTGTAAAATACATAGGTTTATTTCATAAAACACCGTATACTATTTTTTACTCTCCAATGCAAACTGTGAATCATCTTCTGATTTCAAATATAGATCAGTCATTTTGTTAGAGACAGCAATAAGTTCAACAATGAACCAAAATAAGGACCATCCTCAATTTTCTACTATAAAATTTTTGACATTAGTAAAACCAATACGTAATTAACTTTAATATTAAACTGATTTGGTTCTCTTAATTGTTGAAAATATGAAACTTATTCTATCGATGCAATAAGAAGTTTTATTTTCAATAGTTTCATCTACAGCAAGAAAAGATTAAATTCAAATTTGATAATGTAATATCGGTTTAATACTCAGCAACACGAAAAAAAAAACCTAAACTTTGAAGCCTACAAATTATACATACGAATGTATATAATTATTTACAAATCTACTGTTTTTTAACGAAAGCAAAAGCCGCGTAAACAGGCTTCACAGTGAATTCTATCATGTTGTGAATTCATTTTTCCCATTCGTTGATTTGCATCATGACGTGAACGTTGATAAATTTGATTGTCATTTCGAATTGTGTTTGCATTTTGCGAACTATTCTGATTAATCAATGTGGGAAAAAACTTCATGAACAGTGATTCAGCCAAATTTTTCATCACTCGACAAACTTCCTCTAAAAATAATTTTTTGAAATAAATCAAAACCGTAGAAAGATGTACTGGTTTATTATTCAAACCCTACCTGAATACCAACGTGCTTCAGCAATTGTTTCACATACTTGACAAACTTGCCCGTAAATCTTCATTACGACAAAGCCATTTTGTTGTGGATAACTAATTTTAAATGAAATTCGAGCACGCATTGATGTCCATGAACGACCGCAATGACTATTTGGACATTTGAATTGCGCTTTTGCATTATCAAGTTTCACAAAAGCAAAATTGGGCCATCTACATGGGTCACCATAGATTTCATTTTCAGGAAGAAGGCAATAATTAGTATCAATCTTTCTTATGAAAAGTGGATATAATACACGAAGAGTAAAATCACCATGGAATATTTCGCAAGTGCTTGAGCAAAACAGCTTCTTTTGGTCATCTGGTACTTTTGAAGCAAGAATCACTAAAAAAATTAAGGAGACAACATATTGAATATTAAAACAATAGAAGATTTTGAAAAGAATACAAATATTGTACTTACTATCACCATGAAAACCTTTTACAGATTGTTCACAGTAGTTGGAAGTTTTATTAATAAATTTGTTTGAATCATTTTCCAAATATCCATCTTCATAAGCACTCAAATGTGTTGATGATTCTTTTTCGCCTGTATTATTTGATTGTAAACAAGTAGAATTTACAATTTGTTGATCACCATCTTCAATACCTGAATCATTATCACTGGCTGTTTGATCACGTCGAAAAAATGATTCTGTTTTATTTTGATGATTATCAGATATCAATGCAAATAAATTTTTATTTTCAACTGATAAACAACGACGAAATTTTGGTTGTGGCATTTTATTTTTATTTGAATAATCTTCTGCCAAACTAATTTGACGATGGTATAATGAACCAGTCATTTCAATTGTTATTGCTATTTTAAATGATGAACGGTATAGGTGTATATGTAGTTTAATAATCTGAAAATAAATGTTGATAGTATAATAAAAATGAGTTCATATCTTATTATAAAGATAAGTGCTGTAAAATCGTTAGGGAAAATGCAAGTAAATAGTAATGCAAAATGGTCATGAAAAAAAACGAAAGGAAAGGATGAAAGAGTAAGTTTCGAGACGACGAAGATTTTCGTTTTCCCCGAAAAATAAAGGTGAACAAACATAACAGGATGGACGTATTTTCTTAGTAAGAGAAAAAAGTTCTTTTTGCCACTATAAAATAGTGCGAACCAATTCAATCTGTTTGTCAAATTTGTTTTTGACTAAAACGAAAACAAAATGAGCAGGAAGGAAGAAGAAGAAGAAAAGAAAAACTTAGGGAAAAACTGCAAGAAAAATTTTTTTTTTACCCACTTCAATCTCTGTGCGATTAACAATGATCTTACATGGTAATTGTGAAATTTCAAATGACGCCTACGAATGAATGATGAAAGAATAAAACAAGCAGAATCGATGATCGTTGTCTTTTTTATATTCAACGTATGATTATGAAAATATCTGATAGAAGGTATGCGAAAGAAATATATATAAAGGTAAATACAGAGAGAAAAAGAGAATGCAATGTTTTTGTTGTTATTGGTCAACTATTGTAAATCTTTGTATACAATCAATTTTTCTTTTTTCTGTCACATTCTATTTCGTGGTTTTCTAGGTATATTGGTAAATTCCAACTTGACGTCATCAAACGGAAGAGATGAATATATTTTTCATGAAAAATACTATAGAAACACCATGACGAATTGGTAATGATGATGATTTTTCTCGTTCTGGTCCTAGCTTTTTATTTTAAATGAAAGATTACTGTCCATGTAAGCATTGAAAAACTATTTTTCTTGTTTTTTTGATGATATCACAGGGACTTGTCTCGAATAGATGCTATGTCAGAACTTTTAGCTGACTAACAATCTATGAATCATTCGTATTATTTCTTAGGAAAATATACTTGATGATAAAGATAAACCCTCTATTTTCTGTAACGAATCGAAGATTTAAAGAAGAAAAATAATAGTCACAGCACTATCATGAATCTTATTTTTTTTAAATCTATCTAGATACTCTTTGGCAAAACAAAAAAAAAGAGACATAAACAGAACCATTTAATTGTATAATTGACTAATATTAGTTTCAATTAAGTTTTAGATTTCATTGATAAGACCATTTTTTTATACACCAAAAGTAATAAAAGGAAACAATTTTTTATTGAGTATAAGAAAAACATCTGTTTACATTTTTATCATAAATAAATCTCGAAGAATTGAAAAATAATATTCAATTTTTTTATCATACGTATATACTTATTTAATAACATTTATCGGTAAAGTGGGTTCTAAAACATTTTTATCTGACACTCGCATAAATGTTGCTCTTACGCTTCTTAAATAAGAAACATTTGAGAGACGATATATTCACCAGAGGCTCCTAGCCGGCCACGTCTTCGAGGCCTGTAGGCCTGTCAGCATTTTATAGCTGAAACAAAAATGATGAGAGACTAGAAACTAGAGGTACATACAGAGCACCGAGTGTGCTTTTATACCTGGAGATAACCCGCTTATCATAGGCATACACCACGATTTTCTGAGAAGTGAATCTGGCAGGCTCAGACAAGCCAACAGGTCAAAAATTGCTTGAACCTCTGATAAGTAGTGGTCCGAAATTCGTGGCCTATGCCTATGACAGGTCAGTTACCTCCAGGTATAAAAGTACGCTGGGTTCTTTGTATGTACCTCTAGTTTCTAGTCTCTCATCATTTTGTTTTAGCTATAAAATGCTGACAGGCCTACAGGCCTCGAAGACGTGGTCTGCTTGGGGCTCCGATATTCACTAATTTTTTCAGTGATATTTTCGATGAGAATCATAACAGTAACCTTCACGACATGCTTGACATAGATTTTCGTGATGGCGACCATTTGTTTGACTTGCTCGTTGTATAAATCGTTCGTCTGAGGAAGAATTTTGATGTATTGGTAATGGGAAATTTCGATTTGAATAAAATTGTTCAATTATAATTCGACATACGCTTTTCATAACTCGAGTTGTTTCACACAAATACCATGACGGTTGAATATTTCTTCTACATAATCGGCATTCTTGTGTACACAAATTCACAAATAAACAATTATATTTATTAGTACACGGAATCTCTGTTTGGAATATAGCTCTACCACGTGCTGATGTCCACTCATTTATGCAATTTAAACAGCGATATTTTATTTTTGCATTATGATATATAATTAATCTATTAGGCGGATAGACAAATACTTGCACTGGTGTATGATTATTTTCATTAATTTTCTTTGCGCAACATATTGGTAGAGAAATTTCTGCAAAAAGTAGATACCATTGTTCCATAGGATCATGAAAATTCCAGTTTAAGTTAATTTCTAATTCAGTATAAAATACATATGTAAAATTTGGACAAATAATATTTTTATCAAAATTATCCAGCGAACGTGCTTGAAGTACTTTTGTTTGATAATCTAAATCAAGAAAAGAATACATTATTATTAATAATTATGTACTTAAAATGACGACATATGAGCTAGGACATGCATTATAGTTAGAGCATTTAATTGTAAGAATATTTATATAATGACTTACCTTTTTCAGCTAGAATATTTGAAGATGCCATCAAAAATTTTAATCAAAACTGTTAAGTATTTTATTTGCACTTGCTTTTCTGATGGTATTATTATTTTTATAAATCAATATAAATTGTAATAGATACTAAATTGTATGTTGGCGAATAATCAAACAGAATCTTGTTTTATATTTTTTGTCATTGAATTTCGAAATTTCAAGTATTGTCGTATGATGATAAAGAATTAACAAAAGCATAGACATTTATTCAAGTGAAAATCAAACTGGAATATACCTTATACTTTGACACACCTACGCTCAAGTTATGACGCACTGATTATGGCTATTTGTATTTTTATTCTTGACGAAAAAAGAAATAGCAATACTGATATTTATTTTCTCAATTCAGAAAAGTTGGCTTCTTCCAACTAAAGAAAAGAAATGAATGCACAACGTACACTTTATTTACGTTAACGTCACATTTTCTCTATCAAATGATATATTTTCATGTGAAAGATGGAAGAAGATTGCTTGTCAGTATAATAGTAATTGGGCAAATAACAATAATTATGAACCCTTTGTTTTTAAAAACGAAAATAAGATGAATTCGAATGTTTTTCTTTGTAGTTTTATGTCAGATTAAATTATTTCCAAACGCAAAACCTTTATAAAAGATAAAAGAAAAAACACGTGTACAACAATAACAATCCGTGTCGATGTAACTCTGTACTGTGATATGTGCATCACATAGAGAGAATTTTGATCTGTAGTTCAAAATATCATTTCAGATGATTTTCTTTTCATACTTTCATGCTCAGTAAATAAAATGATGTATCTACTCGTTTACAGTAATAACAAGTGATGTTAGTTTTTAGTAAATTTTTCAATGTTTGTCAAATAAAATCGAAAAGGATGTTTGTTTTTATTCATAGAAGGTCAGAGGTAGATCAAATGAAACATAATAAAATTATATCGTGTTTTACATTTTAATCCTGAACAGAAAGATTGTATAGCGTTCCATTGAAATATTTTTTCATGTATGTCTTTAAAAATTATATCCCGATGATGATATGTTTCAAAAAATAGTTTTCTTTAATATAATACGAGACAAAAGCAAAAAAGCTAAACTATCTTCTTTTATATTGCTGAAAACTGACAATTATTATTTGTTACAATGATCAAGTCATCAAGATTTCGTTGGACCATGTATGATTATGGTGCAAAAATGAGTTGAACAATATGCTTTATTAGATTTATTTAATAATAAATTAGAAAATATTAAGAAAAAACAATATAGTATATATATATACGTGCGTGTGTATTTATTCGGTTTTTATCTACATTTGATCTGTTGAAGCTCGTTGAATAACTGTATAACGAGTAACAAGTACGAGAAATATAACAAGATTAATAAAAGTAAATAATATAATATACGTTATAAGTATAGATGCCAATGCACATAAAACAACAGCTTTGTGACACCATATATCAGGATTTTCTAGCAATTGTTCAAAATGTGGTGGGTATCCAATAGTTATTAACCAATAATGACCTAAAAAAAACCATATTATAAGAAACGATGTCATCAAACCATCAATGAATGCATGTTCATCATGATGATCAGGCGATGGTTCTTCATCATTCAAGACTTTTTGTTGTAAACGATATTTATGCCAAATATTTTGAAGAAGTTTCGTTGTCCATACAATACCGGCAACAAATACATAAATTGGTAAGTTTGGTTGACGAGGACAATCACTTAAATGACTAACACCTAAATATAAAAGAAATACAAGTATTTTTTGTTTGATAAATAATTTAAAAAAGGGCAAATTCTTTTTCTTTTTCTTTTTCTTTTTCTTTTTCTTTTTCTTTTTCCCATACCAATCCCCATCATTATAATAGGCAGAATAAGAAGAATGCCAAGAAAAATCGCTGCTGCTTCTAAAGAAAATAGTACTGTAGAGTTCGAAAATGTGTATTTATTTAAATTTACTAGTTTTCATAAGTACAAGTATAGTTTTTTTAACAAACTCCATTAATGATTCACAATCAGTATATTCTTCAATTAAACGAGAACGTAAACTACCATAATGAGGCGTTTCTTTTTGGAAATCAATGCTCCATTTCGATGCTCGTGATGACTTCTAGATAGAGCAAAAGAAAAATGAAAGAAAACAAAACACAGTTTATTTTATATTTTCATACTTTTTTAATTTCAGTACTTCTTGACGACGGATCCCAATACAACATAGAGACAATAGATTGTCGTTCACCTAATCTCTCTAAGGAAGCAGGACTATTGGAATTAAATGATAATGCTTGACTAAGTTTACGTTCACTGTTGAAAATTTTTGTATTCAAAAACTGTGCCGTGATATCTGATGTTGTAGATAGTGATGTTTGATCATTTACTTGAGAGTTAGATACTACACATGTGGATGTTATACGCCGATTTGATGATGTTCCTGTTGGATAATGTATTGATGATCGTCGGCACATTGTGCTTCGACGACGCGAGAAAGATTCTGCACGTCGTTTTAATTCTAATTGCGAGCATACAACACTTTCAAATGTTAAGGAATTTTTACTAGTTGTTGGTGTTGTTAATATTATTGTATTTCTATAATGAGTGCTCGGCATTGTACCTCGACGAGTAGCCTACATTTATAATAATAATAGTAATAATAATACTTGAAAAATAGATATTATTAATTCTTCAGATAATCTAGTTCTATGAATTTCGGTAAATATGACTAATTTACAAATTCTAAACACATGTCTCAAGTGTTCTATCACATAAACAGAAATTTAGAGTAGAAACATGACAAAGACACGAAGTATTTCTTTTGATTTATCACAATTGTCATTTTGTTTTATATAAGACAATCAGTGCATTTCCGTACTGTTTTCTTTTTGTTGTCTCAAATTCAAAAGATACAGTTTCCTAGTGATCATAATTAATAATTAATACACAAAACAAAAGATAAATCTAGGATTTCTTTTTTCTCACCGCTGCCAACATTGTCGATGATTGCTGTGATATAGATTTTGTTTTTCGTGACATTATTCAAGTAATCAAGAAATCTATTTTATATTAGTCTGTTTTTTTTTCTTCAGGTCCCAGTATTCACTCATTCAATTAAGTACATAGACGATGCTTAATAATACGATAAAAAATATCTTCATCTTCTTTTTTTATTCATTTGACCATGTCATCATCAAAAGTCGTTTGGTTTCTATTCACTCACTTAGCTATTCTAGATTGTCATGTCACTTAACGTTCAGTTTAGTTCTGTTTTTACGAAAAATCTATTTTCTATTGACACATTGTATATATCAAAACTCGACGTGTATCTCTTTTTTATTGTAATATTATTACATTCTGCACAAGTAAGATTAATAAGATTAAAAGACGAAAAAAAAAGAGAAACAATAAAAACATGTTTTGTTTTGTTTTCTGTTAGTATGTATAGAAAATAAATGCGGAAACATCGGATTCGCATCCGATTGTTATGTGTACTGCAAAAACTGAATCGATTTATATATGTTGTGAATAATTCTGAGAAAAAAAATCCCTGCACCCCCCCCCCCTCAGGGATGGTCGGGTCAATAATGACAATTTTTTCAATAACTCAGACATTTCTTGACGGATCCTTCTCATCTTTGAACTCGGCTGAGATATTGATGAGATCATTCTGTGTAAAAAATTTCATGACAATTGGATGAGGCTTTCAAGAGTTATCGTGTTAACGGACGGACGGACGGATGGACACACTGACCGAATCTAGAGTGTACTCACTTTTTGAGTACACAAAAAAGAGTAACCTTTTCATTAGGAAAATTTCATTCCAAACAGTAGTTTCGTTTTTTATCCTTTACTGGACTACTTTTTCGTATATTATTCAATGAACTTCTTAAATTTATTTACATCTAGTAAAACTTATCTAGATTCAATTTATAAAAGATGAGATAAAATCAAGTGCATAGTTTACCATGACATGTGTGAGTGTAAGATTATTCATAATGTAAAATACAATTGACAGTAAAATTCATTAAATAAATTTGCAAGTAATAAAAAGTTATCTATAATGATGAAAATATTCTGTATATTCCAATGATTATTGGAATTCTAATTAGATTGAAGTCATGTGACCATTAAAAAATGAAAAGCCGAGAACACCTCAAGCACATTAGCTGATATCGGCATTTCTTCCTCATGTATTTATCATAGAAATTGTAAAATCTATGGTGAAAAACGTCTATCAATTTAAGCTACATAACATTTTCAAATTCAATATACCTGCCTTGTTTTGTTTTTGTAATACTTTATGGTTAGATAAAATATCATTGATATCAAAAGTCTTCATAAGTAAAAATAAATGGTTGAATTCATTTATGAATAATTTAAATAAGAGAACAATTTTCGAAACGATGAATTCTTGGATTTAAAAAATATATTATTCTTTTTTTTATTGAATTTTACCACTATTTTAATTATCACATTGGTGATAAGAAAGTCTCATTGATATCTTTTATTTATCATAGAATAATTTTTATTCTGTCAAAAGAAAACTCTTAAATAAATAATAGCACAAGTAAATGCAAGTATAATATCGAAATAAGGTCAACTAATTTTGTTGTCAGTTCTATCTTATATATGAAATGAAAAGAAAATAGATATACTTGATTTTTCTATCCTCTATACTTAATACATTAGAATAAAAGAAAATCCTGTATAGCAATGGAATGAATGATATTAAGAATAGTTTCACTCTACGTAAAGTGTCTAGTCATTGTTTGCTTCGATATGTTGTTGTCACCCTTTATAGTTACAAACAAAAGATGTTTTGTAATATTTTCTATCTATTCTATATCTTGACAAGTCATAATTCACAGAATTCTAGTGTAATCTTTTTAACTATACCCTTTCTAGACAAATGCTAGTTTTTATAGTGGAAAACTAAACCTTGACAATAGTGTTTATAAAAGATCAAGTAAGAACGAAACGAGAAGTGTTTGCTCATTTATTTGTATTCTATGTTGAAATATAACATCGCATAAGTGATTTCTGTTTAAATCTTATTTTGAACCTCAGTTATTCAGACACCAGTCTGAAAAATCAATGGCGATATTTTTCCATAGGTGAACAGAGTTTGATGAATTGTATAAGAATATATATATATATTAAAAATATACTAAGTAATAGCATGAAAACAATATTTTAGTAAATTGGTTTGAGCGATTTAAAAAATACTCTTAGTGTCGTTCCAACACATGCATAAATTTCTGTAAGTGTGAAGATTTATGGGAATATTTTCTCTGTGAGTATGCTCCTGAATTTATAATCCTTACTTCTACTACATGTGTGATGAAAATACCTTACAGTCATGAAATAACACCTATATGAGAGAAAACTAATCGAGAAAAATCATCCTTCATTGATACAATTAAGTCTTACAACATCGACAAGACTGTTGCTGATAGTGAAAAATAATAGCAAATTTTAATTAAAACACTGGCTCAGTTTTTTACACAAATAAAAATATTTCTAAAAAGTAAGTTATTTATTTGATATCACTCTTATATTTCCGCTGCTAAAATACAAAAGAATATTTAACGTTTTAGGATGTTGTCTTTCTAAATATTCATTTAGTAAATTTCTAATAGATTTAATCAGATCTTCATCTATTTACTAATCCAAACTAATGAATAAGTTGCACTAAGAAAATGTAAACTACTACTAATAGTTATTCAACATACGACATGCTTTCATCAATTAAAATTTTTAAATATTTTATTACGGAAAAAGTATTTCATTGTACTGTAATCGTTAAAAAAAACCAAGTGTAAATTTCCTAAGCTATACATAGAGCAAAATACAGATTGTAGAAAATAATCTGATCAACTTCAAATATGAAGCAAAAAAAACAGAATAAAAAATCATGCATTTGTATCATAACTTACCCGTTTATTGAGTTCTTCCACTTCAATAACAAGCAAATTGAGGCCAACTCATTTATTTATTGTATACAACTCTCTTTGATTTAAAAATTTTTGACATCAAAACGATCAATAAAAATGAAGTAAAGTCAAGACGAGTACTAAACTACCCACACTTGACTTTCATGATCGACATAAAATAGAGAAAAGACAGAAGGCGAAGTGAACTCACTACTATTTCTAATTGTCAAATACACATAAATATGCATGATTATGAATGTAAATTGAATAAAGACATTCTCTGGTAACTGCTGACTTTTGTAAGTAGAAAAAAAAACAGGTCTACTATTATTAGCAGTAACTTCTCTTGTATAACCCTTTTCATTTATGCATAACGACAAATAAAATCAGACTCTCTCTCTCTCTCTCTCTCTCTCTCTTTATATATATATATTTATATATGCGCAAGCAGTTATAAATTACTTTTACTCATATTCAAGAAACGATTTCGATTCATTTAATCATAAATTGATGTAAATCATGACTGAGAAATCTTCTGTATTGATTAGAAATAAGATGAATTTAACAAAAAGAAAAACCCTTCGCTATTGTTCTATCAATAAACAAAACTAGCAGACAGAGACAAACCATTGATAAAAATATTTAGATTATTAGTTTAGTAGTTTAGTAGAAAATGAAAAGCAAAATAGAAAAATTTGATTATTATTGAAGTATCGACAGCGATGAAAACAATCTTATTCAATTGAATTGTATTCATTGGCCGAAATTTTCATCATATGATGAACAGTAATTTGATAAATTAATTGTGTATCGTTGACCGTGGATATCTAATAAGTTATTGTTGTTTTTGTTTTTCATTCCAGATCTTTCTCAAAGAATATCTAGGATCTCTATATTACAAGTAACGCGACATAAGTGTCGCTAATCCTCTACTGAAATGGGTGACCATGTTTGATAAATAATAAACAAATAATACAAGTTTTGACGTAATAATTTAGCAATGCTATTTTTCATGTCTCTATGTAGTGATAAGTGTATCCAACATATTAGCTATTGTGTATAGCTAGATGATCTTTTATTTGTGTTGTTCCATGGGAACTCAACCAAAAAAGCACAAAGTATTCAAAATTTTTTCGCTTTCAGCTGGTTTTGTAGAGCTCATTTCGCTAATCATTTTAGTATAAAACAAAATTAAAATTCATAAGTAAAAAAACTTTTTATAGCGAAAATACTAAAACTGGTTTTTTATTATAAATACCTTAGGTTTTTCGGTATTTTGGCCCTAGCGCAGTTATTTCTATATATTTTTTTGAAAAAAGTATACTAAAATGTTCAGCTCAATCAGCTCTACAAGATAAGATATTTTCAAATTACTTGAAAATATTTTTCATTGATTTACTTAAGTAAATGCGCTAAAAAACGTAGGTGCCTTTATTTAAAAATGGTTACATTCTGCTGGAATCTAAAGTATAGGGTTTTGTAGAGCGAAACGCGCTCTACAAAACCCTGTATACCGTTTTTCATATAGGGCCAGAAACCTTGCTTGAATAGCATTACAACGTTTTGAACATCATGCATGATAGGGACAAACCACTGGATGACGCAAATGAATTACAAAGTAATTCAGAAGAAATGAATTACAATATAATTCAGAGCTAAAACTAAATTTCTACATGTATCTACCAGGGTCTACAGCT